TTAGGGCTGTTGTACATAGGGTCGCTATGAGTTGCAAACGACTCGACGGCACATAACAACCACCACCAAGTGGTGGAGTAGTCCTACAGGAAGCCTGCTGCTGACCTGCTCTTAACTCTTTCATTCCGTAAACCCTAGAGGAGGGGAAGAGGAAGGAAACTCGAGAGGTTATACAGGTCGTCTAAAGGTTCCTACACTGGATTAAAAGGACAGTTGAAATATAGCTTTAAGGCTTCCTCAGATTTTAATTTATTAAAAAGTTCACTCCTTTCCATTATAAAAGTAATGTGTAATTATAAAACTAAATGTGAAAAAGAGGAAAATATCATAACTACTTTCCAGTTTTCATGAACATAAAGCCTATTAGCGTAATTACCTCCAATAGCTATGAGCCGGTCTCCCCGCTGAAGATCTGCAATTGCGGCAGGAGAGTTTGGGGCCACAGTTTCAATAATGACATGCCCGGCATACCCGTCAGTCGACTGGACAAGACGAAGTGTCAGCCCAACACTCTGTAAATTCCCCTTTATTAACTCAACCTGTGATAAGGGGGAAAAAGAACAGATTCAGTGCAGTCACAGCAGGAATTCAGTCTCCAAGGGCCTGAGAGAGCACCAGGGCAGACAGCACCAGAGATGCTGGCTTCTGTTCTTGGGATTACTACTCCAGACCACAAGGGACAGTTACTGTGACAATATAAACAAACATTCTCAGGGTACACACAGAAACTATTAAAAGAATCAAAATGCTTTCTTATCGATATGCTTTATTAATACTATCTATAAGTACTGTAAATATTTCATACTTTAAAGATACATATTTTAACACAAAATTAAGATCTGACTGGATAGAATTCTGAATCTTACCTTTCTCAAATATAATGGGAATTAATATCTATGCCATTAGATGTGCCCTGGACACTCTCCTTCTAATAAAGCACTGTTAAATTTTCATTTTTAGCAGGGACCAGCATTATTAAATTTCTATTTTATTAAGAGTTACCTTGTTAATGACATCCTCTGTACTAACCTATCAGGATCATTTTGTTTTCTAATTTGTCATCCAATTTATCAGGCATGTGGCCCAGATTTGCAGGTGCACATGGATGGAGACAGACAGACAGACAGACAGACACACACACACACACACGACAATACCATGTTACTGACAAAAATGTAGACAAGGCTAGAATGGCACATCCCTCCAGGTGACAAGCATTCGTGTTTGAGTTCAATTACAAATCTGTCTTACTGTATTATCATCTAGCCCACAACTCCCGTCTGTTCTTCAAGGATATCTCATGAGAGACTTTGCTAAATCCCTTGTTAACATCCACATACGCCAGTTTGTACTTCTTTCATATACAAAATCATATTTACAATTTAGAAGCTCAATTTCCTAGCCTAGTAATACTGGCTGGTGAAAGAGTTCTTTAGTTGTAATGTAAATAGGCTTTGCAATTTTTACATTAAAAAATGCATCTTAATCATCACGTGGTCCAGAAGGTGGAAAGGGGATTTCTTTTTTTTTTTATTATTAAATTTTATTAGTTTCAATGAACATTCACAGGGATTCTGGGCTTTCACTCCTACATTGCCGCACCATTCTCTCCACCCTCCTCCCCAGTTTGTCTTCTTCCCCGCCATCCGAATGTCTGTTTTAATTGTCCAATTGCCACAGTGCTTGTCAAAGTCAGTTCTGATTAATCTCCTTTGTTGGTGTGTCCTTTGCCATTCAGAAAGGGGATTTTCTGATCACCTGTATGTTTATACATAGGTCAGTATGTAAGTCCTGGAAGTGCAGTGCTGAAAGGCTAAACTGTGTTTGGCTTTATTCGTATACACTTACAAAGAGAATACAAAGTTAGGCTCTTCAAAGGCCATGGTGGGTACTGTCTGCTGTTCTGATCCAGAAGGCCTTGCTGCCGCGTGGGGTCTGAAGCATGGGCAGGCTGCCAGGTCATTCTTCTGGGGCACCTCTGGGTGGCCTGCAACCACATACTTTTTGGCTCACAGGGGATTGCTAAACCCTTTGTGCCATCCAGGAATTACCTAGTTGTGCTTAAATCTCTAAAAACATTTGTATTTATAACAGCTAAAAGTAAATAATCTTTTTATTTAACATTAAAAATACATCTCAAACCATGTACACATATGCATGCGCAGCTGTGTAAAATGTTTTCTCCAATATGATTTATAACTTTCATTCAAATAAGTAACAAAAAGAATTTGATTTCTTAAGAAACAACATACACATGTTATCTAGAGAAGGTAACCTCTAAACAATGAAAAACAGAAACTGTTATTATTGTTTTGTGCTGAAAACAGGGACTGAACTAAACAGAACTATTTTAGAAAAGTTTAAGGGTAGCTGTTATGGTGTAGGGGTGGGAAGCCTGAAGAGATCGAGTACAGCTTTAATGTGATTTGACAAATGTTCTTAATGAAAAAGGCAAAGATGGTGATGGAACTGTCAACATTCAGTCAGAAAACAAGCAGTGTTTAAACCCACTAGAGGGAATGAGTTGAATCATGACATCCTCTCATAGAAAATAACTTATACTGATGGTCGTAAAGATCTACTTTAACACAAAGCTGTTAAGTTTTCTTCATGTTAGAACACTCTACTATCCAGAAGACTGTTGTTAGGTGCTGCTGGGTTGAGTGCAACTCAGCTCAGTTTACAGTGACCCTCCGAACAGACCTGACCCGTGCCGTCCTGCGCCATCCTCGCCACCTCTGACATACTCGAGCCCCCTGCCCCAGTCACTGTGTCAATCTGTCTTGTTGAGGGTTTTCTCTTTCGAGGACTCTCCATATTTCCAAGCATGTCCCTCCCCAAGGACTAGCCTCTTCTAGAAACATGCCCAAAGCATGTGTGACGGACAGCTTTACCATCTTTGCCTCCAAGGAGCACTCTCTATCTGCACTTTTTCCAAGATATTGTATTTGTTTCTGGTTCAGTCCATGGATATTCAGTGCTCTTCTACAGTTCCACAACTCAAATGCATAGATTCTTCTGTCATCCAGCTCAGATGTATAGCAAGTGACTGAAAAGATCACTGCTTGAACTAGGTGCACCTAAGGCTTCAAAGTGACATCACTGCTTTTAAGTAACTTGGAGAGGTCCCTGATCTCCCGACTGCTGGTACCAAGGCTGTGGACTGTGGATCCAAGTAAGATGAAATCACTGGCAACTTCAATCTTCTCTCCAACTATCATAATGTTGCCTGTTGGTCCAGGTGGCTGTGTCATATAAACTAAGCTTCAATGTCCTGAAATTGCTCAGATGACAAGGGCTCTACCTTTTTCAGAGGACTGGAAGCAGGATAATCATTATCTCCATATGATTAGCCTTTTTAAAAAATACAAGAGCATCTATGTGGTGTAGTTAGTGGCACATTTGCACCTACCTGAAGGCCATGCCTCTGTAGCAGTTTGAAGCCACCAGTGGCTCTGCTGGAGAGAGATGGGCAATCTCTTCCTTTGTCATTTACAGCCTTGGAAACCTGGTGAAGGGTCAGCTATGTGACAGCTCTCATTTGTGAGTTCTGAAGTATACTTTAAGAGTGCATGTAGCACCACATGCCACAACACATGTGTGGATGAGGTGTGCCAGGAATTCAGAAGAGGTGAACACTGCCTCCCACTGTGTGGCCTGGAGAAGATGGCCATAGAAAAGAATGGCACTCACGTTATGTCTTGGAGCATGAAGAATTTGAACAGTCAGTTTTGGAGTTGGGTTAGGTAAGACAGGGCACCATTGTGGGACTTGCTAATGCAAAGAGATGCATGTTAGAGCAAAGAAATGGAGACAAGAATGCAGAGCATAAAACGAAGTTAAAGCTCTTATGATATCAGCTGAGATGTATTAAGAGTGAAAAACAGTTATGGCAAGAGTCTATAACATTACCAGGAAAAAGCAGCCCATTTCATAGATTGTGTCATCAAACATTAACCCTCAGACTCATTGCTGTCAAGCCAGAACCAACTCACAACTGAGCCTCCAACTGGTTTTAAGAGGCGGTCTGTCCCTGGAGCCACTGCTGGATTCAAACCAATAGAGAGCTGTGATGTTTGGGTTAGTTCACTGAAAGATACCATAGAATTCTACACATTCTAATTATCTAATAATTAATAAAAGAACCTCCATTATGTTTATTCCACTCAAGGACTTTCTGAATCCACATGCTAAACATCTGGGAAGGCATATTAAGGGAGCTTTGGTGGCCTAGTGGTTAAGAAGCTGTGCTGCAATCTCAAAGGCACGCAGTTCTAATCCATCAGGAGAAGGGTGGGCAATCTCCTCTTGTGTGATTTACTTACTGGCTCTGAACACCCTCGGAGAGTTCAGCTATGGGTTGGTTCCACACAACAACAATAAATTATAATAACGTGCACAGAGTTTACAAATACCTATCAATACTTTATTTGCTATAAACAGGTCTCCTAAGGGGCACTGTGTCGTATGGCTAACACTGTTATAATAAGAAGTAATAAAATTATTCCTTCTCTTTGTACTCTATGGGGTAATTCCATCCTACCCTACAGGATCTTTATGGGTCTGAATCAACACAAGTATAAGGAGCTTGATTGGCTGGGTTTACCGAAGCGCTCAGCAGACACCGGTATCTGGCTAATCCTCCCCCAGTCTTCCGGGAGTGTCTCGCTCCTCAGATGATTACGGCGGGAACAGCCGTGCTAACATAAAGGACTGCTGCCGGCCTGCGTCATTACACGGTTCAGGGGCACGTTATTTTAACTCAGGCGAGTCAACCATCGTTTCTTCCGATTCAGAAGTCCTTGAATTCAGAGTCCTTGAATGGAATAAACATAGTGGCTGTGAAAACCTGCGTGTCTTCTTACGGAGTGGGAAGCAGAGAAAGCCAGTGTTGTAGAGTGAAGACCGGAGCGAGGAGCAGGGAAGAGCAGCGTGGCAGAGGTCTAGGGCTCAGGTCTGATGCTCCTACCTGCAGCTGTACAGCACCTGTGTCACTCAGCTGAGAGCAGTGGCCCTGACACCTGCCCTTGGGATCTATAAGACAACTTGGTATTTTCAGAATTCGTGCCCTCATTGTGTCCTTGACGTAGCCTTAGCGGGTATCTGTTTCTCAAAAACAAATAGGTTCTAGCTGACTAGGCAGAGATGGTCAGGTTTAAATATCTCATTTAAATGTGGTGTGCTGAACTTACTGAACTGGAAAAGGCACAGATGCAGCCAAAAGATAGGTTTTAAAGTGTTTTCTATATAGTAAGCCCACATCGATTGGCCTGAATTTTTACACAAAAAGTCGGTTTCTACTGAAGCAGAAGCACACTATTTCTATGATATAAAAAAAAGGGGGACCAATTGTCAAAAATTTCTGACACATTCGAACTGAACAGCAATTAGGCGAGCGGAACTACCAGGTTCAATACATAACGATTGTGGACAGTCTGCATTTAACTTAACGAATAACGTCAAGTACAGGTTAAAAAATGCCAGCCGAGTGTGCATCTGTCTTGTGGGGAGCAATTTAGTAAAAACATGGAGCCCTCCT